AGCCTCTCTGGCCCTGGCCAGGAGGTCCTCTGGCGGCATGACCTCCTCGGCCTCCTCGGCCTCCTCCCCAGACCCCTGGCCTCGTGACTTCCTCGAGCACGGCGCCTTTCCTCAGTTTCGGCCTCCAGAGGCCTGGCTTCGGGCCCCAGTGGCCGTCAGAAGTAGACCCAGGATGAGAAGCCAGCCCTTGGGAAGGTGTGGAGAGGTCTGGTGGCCACGTGGGCACGGGCGGAAACGCGAATCGATCTCCGCCATCTTGGGAATGGTGTGCGGTCGGCGTTTCCGGGGAGCGCGCTGCCTTCGGCGATTTCCTGTGGCACCAGAGGGCCCCGATGCCTTCGGTTGCAAGTCACGGGAGCCTTGTATACCCTTGTACTTCCCTTTTTATAGTGCTTGAGCGCCGACTTGCGTCTGGTAGTCGACGAGATTGCGCCGCCGATTTAGTTAGCGTCGATTGGCGTCGACCAGCGTCGATTTAGCATCGATCAGCGTCGATTCGCAGGAGCCAACAAGATGGCACAGTGTGCCCCCATGAGCTGCCGCAGAAGACGCCCCTCGCGCCCCAACCATGGCGTCGGAGGTCGGGACCCTCGCCCTCGGCCTCCGCGCCCTCGACCCCGGCCCTCGCGGACCCGCCCCGCACGCGCGGCGCCACGGGCGCTCCTCGGGGGCCGCAGAGCTGGGGGTGATGACTCGGGGCGTCTGGATCGCACGGACCCCGGGCTCCTCGGCCTCGGGCGGCGTGGGCGCAGAGGCGGCCGGCCGCCGGGGGGCGGCGGGCGCCGCCGCCGGGCCGCCGGCGCGCCCGCGGCGGGCGGCGCCCGAGGAGCGGGCCCGGGAGCTCGGCACCGCCCAGGTGGCCCGCAGGCTCTGCGCGTACGTGGAGTGCCCAATGGTGGCCACGATGGGTGGGCTTGCTTTCCACCGCCACCACCATGAGTAGGAGGGGGAGCGGATCCTCCTCCCCCTCTTCTTCCTCCTCCTCCACCTCCACCTCGCCCCCCCCTCCAACTTATGGTGGTGGTGTTGGAAAATGGGCCCGTCAACGATGGTGAACCACGCGAACGGCTGCCTGCAGCTCCTCTCGCCGGCCCAGCGGCGGTGCGCGGAGGTCCTCCTCGCGCGCGAGCCCGACCGGCGGCTCGCGGCCGAGGTCGGCACCCTGCCCCCGGGCCGCGGCGGCGCAGGCCGGGGCGACGCCGAGGGCGGCGGGCGCTGGCTGCAGGTGGCCCTCAGGTCGCTCTACGGCCTGGACCGGCTGACCGTGTGGGTGCACTCCGGCACGGAGGCGGGGGCCCTGCGCGCCCGGATCGCGTGCGGCCTCGGTGTCCAAGAGGAGCACGTGGCGATCCTCCACCAGGGTGCCGAGCTGTGCTACGGCGAGCCCGTCCCCGTGCCCAGGAGGGCGCCCCAGTGGGCCCCCCCGAGCGTGTTCACCGTTGTCGTCGATGCGCCCTCCCTGAAGATGGACGAGGAGGTCCTCGCGCGCGCGCTGAGCCACATCAGCACCCGGGCCCGCGCCCTCAGCGCGGTGTCCACCCTGACGAAGAAGCTCAGGAGCTGCCACCTGAGGGACCGCATCTTGGACTACGTGGCGAGCCCCCTTGTTGAGAGGGCGGCCGTCGAGTGGACGTTCCGTGGCACCACCAGCTTAGATGTTCGTTTGGGGAACCTTCCTGGTGACCACCTGATGGATCTGTTCGGCTCTAGTTCGCCTCTAGTTCGACTCTAGCTCGACTCTGGCTCGGTTTAAGTTGGATTCGAAGCCGACGGACGCTCGACGCAGCACCGACGCGCGAGTGGATCGAGTGGCTCCAGGAATCAGTGGCGAAATCCGAACCCTACCGTCGCCGATCAACTCGATGGGCGGCGGGGGTAAGGCTCGGAATTAGCCGAATGCGTCGTGAAATCCGAACCCTACCCCCGCTTTCCATCGATTCAGGAGGACCGGTGGTCGGTGGGGGTAGGGTTCGCATGTCGCCACTTGAGGACCGGCGGCGAGCCCGGGGGGAACTGAGAAGCGGCGGGCCTTCTCAGAAGGCTCGGAAGCCCCCCGGCCTTCTGAGGAGCTTCGAAGCCTTCCCCGACTACGCAGAAGACCTCCCCCGAAGGCCGGAGCGCTTCTGAGAAGCCCCGCCGCCCTCGCTCGCCGCCCCCCCTCGCCCGCTGCCGAAAGGAAGGCCCCGGAACGAGCACCTACTCCAGCAGAGAGGCCCTGGACGCCTGCTTCGCGGCGCTGGCCTTGGCGGCGGGCGCCCCCGCCGCCGCGGCGGTGGCCGCCAGCGCGGCGCCTCCTCGGAGGTGAGGCGGCGGAGGCGGCCCCGTGCCTCTCCGAGGCTCTGCCGCGCCTTGCCGGGCGCCAGCGCGCCCGTGGCCCAGCCTGGCGCGGCGGGGGGCTCGGGTAGCCGTGGGGGAAGCGGGTTCCGAGGGGCACGGGTCCTCAGGCTTGTCGCCGTTTTCGGGCTCTCGGGGCCCTCCACGGGCCCCGGGGCCGTCAGACAACGACTCAGGACGAAGAAGTGGTCCTCGGGGGAAGGCCCCAGGGTCCAGGACCCGTTTCCCTCAGTACGCGTTTCCCCCATGCTAATTTGCGCGGCTTGGGGCTCCGGGGGGGAATCAACGGACGTAGAGTTAGAGTGGGACGTTTGGTGGGCGGGGCTGTCGGCCATTCTTGCAATTTCCGAGCTCCAGCCTCTTAGTGCGAGCTCAAGGCTGCTGCAGACCTGCTTCCCCCAGCGTGCCGCGGGCTGCTTACGCTTCGGGTGTGCGCGCCTTGCAGCTTGCATAGGAACAGAAACGAACGACGCAGCCATACGCCAAACGCGCGTGGGCAAAGCGCAGGTGCAGTGGCACGCCAAGTGCGTGCATGAGCAGGCGATTGCACGCCTTAAATGCGTGCCCAAGCGGCCTGGACGCGCCCAGTGCGCGCCGAGAGGGCGGATGGAGTAGGAGGAGGAATATGATTACAGGAAGAGGATGAGGGGGGAGAAGGACCAGAGGAAACCACAGATGCAAACGCGATGCTGCAATACACCTTCCCGTCTCAAGTCACCTCCTAATGCGCTTCTACAGTGCTCCTTTCCACTGCAGTAGCCCCCCCCCTTGCAACACCAGCATCGTTGGGCCTGTCATTTTGGCGGGGGCACCACTGTGAAATGGGATTACCTTGCACCTTCTGCCGCGTAAGCAAGATCGCGAAACATGATCATGAGTTCACCGAGATGTCCAGCGAGATCCCCTTTTGGAGGACGGAGGGGGATGATGATGAGGAGGAGCAGGACAAGTGAAGCCCCATGACGCATCAGCGAGGTTGGAATTTCCCTCCTTCCAAGTTCCGTCTTCATATGTCCCTACAAGAATTTCATTTCATTGTGGGAAGTGTCCCCTTGAAGGAAAACCGTCTGAGAATCTTCAATCGTGCCAACACATTATTCCTGGGACTCCAGCGCAGCAAATCAAGGTGACTGTTGCGTCCCGACAACCCGACATCGCTCCATAACACCATTCCAAGGACTTCAGCCAGACGAATCCTTGAAACCAGTGCAAACTTTTATAGGACGAATGTGCGCGGCGCTACGGCGAGAGCCACACTTTGAAAAGGAGCCGCCCTCCATCCGTGAAGCTCTTGCGAACTTTTAAGACGAGTGTGCGCGGCGCAGAGGCGAGAGTCACATCAGAAACAACAGCGTTCGCCCTCCATCCGTAAAGCTTCTGCACATTTTCAAAACGAGTGTGCGCGGCGCTCAGGCCATACAGTCGACCCGCATGGTGAGGATGGGCAACCTTCTCAAGCGTACCCTTGCATCTTTGCCTCCTCGGCCCATCCTGGGCCACTTTCGTTTGCCGCGCCCCGCCGGAAAAGCTTCGAAATGGGCGTCCAAGCCCCTTGCATTCTTATCGCGCATCCTTACTGTACGGTTTGACTGTAACCCCTTTTTGAAACGGTGGATGGACTAAAAGTGCCCACACGTCTCGCCAAGACCTTGAGTTATTGAAGTGCGTCGGACCAACAAGTACACCCCCTTCCCTAAATTCAAAGTTGATGGGTTTAGGCGGTAGGCAAAGGCCAGGGACCAGAATGTGGACACTTCAACTCTGGGTTTTGGGGGGGAGGGGTGCGAAGCAATAGCATTTCGCGGCTGTGGCTGCTATCATGCTACGTCGCCTTCCCGCCGCGGGTGTGGACAGTTGTCGCAGGCCCAGAGGTTGACACCAACACCAAGATCGGCGGTGTGCCTCCACCGAGGGAAGAAGATCCCGATCTCGGTGATGGTGGTAATATTCTGGCTTCCAAGGTGGCCGAAATATTACCACCAACACCGAAATCTACGATCACCTCCCCCCTGTGGAGGCAGCCCTCTGTCTTGGTGTTGGTGCCCATTTCCAGGCCTCCCAGTCTGGGCACCGAAGCAGGCCGCCCTCCGTCCGCGAAGCTGTGGCGCACTTCGGGCCTCCGGGTCACACGCGCGGTGAAGAGTCCTCCGGCGAAGCGCCCGGGCCCGCCCTGCCGGGACGTCTGGGGGTGCGACAGGGGGCAATTCTTTGTGAGGGCGAGGGACGGAGGAGGAGGAGGAGGAGGAGGAGGAGGAGGAGGAGGAGGAGGAGGAGGAGGAGGAGAGAGGAGGAGGAGGAGGAGGAGGAGGGAGGAGGAGGAGGAGGAGGAGGGAGGAGGAGGAGGAGGAGGAGGAGGAGGAGGAGGAGGAGGAGGAGGAGGAGGAGGAGGAGGAGGAGGAGGAGGAGGAGGGGGAGGAGGAGGAGGGGGAGGAAGAAAGGTAACAGGGAGGGAGGGAGGTGACGGCAACAGCAGGGAGGGAGGACAAGGAGGAGGAGGAGGATGAGGAGGAGGAGGAGGAGGAGTAGGAGGAGGAGGAGGAGGAGGGCTCCAGGGCCTCCAGGGGGGGGATGGCAGCGTTGATTTTCAACATTCATGCTCGCAGCGTGAGCGTCAGGAGGAGGGATGGCGGATGTGCATGACGCCTCCCAGGAGGCAGGGGATGGCATCAGCACGGAAGCTGAGCCACCTGAACCTGCCACGCGGGAAGGGGGAACGGCTCTGGCATCTGTGGACGACGCCGCCGCTCCATCCAGCGTCCCCCCCCCTGGCGTGGCGATCGGGGCGGCGGCCCCCCGTCAAGATCGAGGCGGCGGCCGTGGTGCGGCCGGAAGGCTTCGCACACCAGCACCAACCAGCTCCCACCGCTCTGGTCGCTCCCTGGCGTCGCCCTGTCCTCTGAGCTGCGCCAGGCCTGGCCGCGGGCCGTGCCCTGCTGTCGGACGGCACTCCTCCTGGGTCGCCAGGATCGGCCTGGGG